GGGAAAAAAGCAGTTCATTGATTTCTCGTGACAAATTAAGGTTTTTTTTCCGCTAAAATAAATAATACACAATTTACACATAGTGCAAGTGAAAAATACCACAACATAAATCCAATTTAAAACAGGAAAAATTGTGGTTAAGAAAAACTTCTAAAAGTAACAAGATTAGGCAGTAACTTCATCCATTAATTTATTTATTCATCCAGAAATCACTGAACATCCATTATGTGTAAGGCACTAAATCCAGGTACTGGAGATATCCTAGTAAATGAGAGAAACAGCATAAACCTTCAAATGTAATTTAAATTATATAAAGTTACAGTAAGATAAGTGTTACAAAAGGAAATGGGATTGTGACAGATCTGCTTCATTTGATTACAAATAAATAAGTATGCTATATTGGCTTTGAGTTAGAGCTTTTAACCTTTTAACTAAAATGTATACATTTCTAAGTATTTTTAAAGCTTTTGACTTTTACATTGTCTTTAAGCTACAAATTATTTGAAATGTATGACTTAAAACAAGTGTCTAGAAGTAAATAAACATGGCACAGAGCGTTTCAAGAAATTGCCATCTTTGGACAGCACCGGTAATTCTCAAAGATAAGCTAATGCATTATGTTTTACCCAGACTCAACTATTGTACACTTCTTCCTGCCACCAAGTTTTCTGTTGGTTAAAAAAATAAATCGGATTTCTTCTTCCACCTTCATGAACACATTATGTCAAGCTCAAAAAGTCAATCTATATGACCTCACCATCTGCCACGATCTCTTGTCAGTTTCAGACAATATAACTCCCACAGATGGTCTCAAAATGCAAGCCCTTTTCCTTTCCAACCACAATTTAGTAGTTCTGGCCACAAAGCCTTTTAAAATGGTATACCATTAATCAAAATACAACAAAGAAAAAAAGCAAAGTTATAAATACATTTGTAGAATTAACCATCACTTGAATCAGAGTTTGTAGACTTTCTAACACTGCTGTAAAAGATGCTACTAAAACTTTAATTCCAGCAAAGACAGTATATTTACGTGGAAGATATTATTAATTTTAAATACGAATTCATGTTTCAAAGTTTGGAAAATATACATATTTAGGCACTCTTTTAAGTGCTTCACATGTAGGATCTCACATAATCCGTTCCAGAACTCTATCAGGTAAATATACTATTTGCATTTTACAGATGACAAACGGAACTTTACAGTTGAAGTAATTTGCCCAGTTAACCAACTGTGTAAATGGCAATGCCAGAAGATCAACCCAAGAACTAGCAAAAAAAACACAAAGAAAACTAGCAGACATGTTCTTACCGACTACACTAAATTACCAAATATATCTGACTTGAGATACAATAAATTTATCCTCAAAATATAGCAAAAAATGTAATTATTATAATAAACCCATATAAAAGAATATCTTACTATACCAAAAGAAGCCTTCAGAATTTCATATAGAACAACTATATATCATTGGATCAGACTTTCACCCTTTTTATTTCCTTCTTTTATTAATTTCAGTATTAAATTAAAATTTTCTTAGTAACTTCATTTCTTTTTATAGTTTCATAGGAGTCCTTTACATCATTATATCATAACTGGAGGCCTGGTGCACGACATTCGTGCATGGGGGTGGGGGGATGTCCCTCAGCCTGGCCTGCACCCTTTCGCAGTCCTGGAGCCCTTGAGGGATGTCCAACTGGCGGCCTAAGCCATCAGTCAGACATCCTTAGCGCTGCCACAGAGGTGGGCCGCTGCGCTCGCCAGCAGTCAACCCAGCTGTGGCTGAGCAGTGCTCCCCCTATGGGAGCACACTGACCACCAGGGGGCAGCTCCTGGCTTGAGCGTCTTCCCCCTGGTGGTCAGTGTGTGTCATAGCAACCAGTCGTTCTGTCGTTCAGTCAATTTACATATTACCCTTTTATTATATAGGACTGATTGAACTAGTTCCTGGCTGATGAACACTTTACAGAATTCCTGTTTCTAAACAGTTGGCAGTAATCACATTTTAATGACTCAATCCTTCATATTTGATCTGGTCTCTGACTACCTCTCCAGGTCTGTGTTGAACCACTTTCCCATACCCTTCTCTGATCTAGTTCCATTGGCCTTTTGTCAGCTCCTCAAACACATGTCCTCCTGCCTCAGGGCCTCTGCACATGCTGTTCCCTTTGCCTGGAACTTTCACCAATGGTTAATTTCTCCTCCTTTGGATCTCCTCTCAAATAACACTTTTTCTGAGAGAACTGTTTCTCTCCCACTACCCAGACTAGGTCAGAGGTCTCTACTTAATGCTCTCCCCTACTTCCTCCTTTTTTAGTACACACCGGTTGTCATTACCTGTTTATTTGTGTAATTATCAAAATGTGGTCTATCTCTGCCAACTAAAATGTAAGTTCCTTGAGGGCAGGGAACCTATCTATTTTATCCAGTGTCTGGCATGTGGTTAGAACTCAAGTAATATTTATTTTTTGTTTTTAAAGAACTATTTAGTAAATTAATTATATAGTCAATGTTATATTTATTTTCACCCTTTAATAATGTATGATAATCCCACTTACTATGACTTGGCAACAGAAAATGAAAAGAAATGTAAACATTTAACACATTCACACATCTGAAATATCACTAAGCTATATAGCTGAATTTTGAGTATCACTTTCCTATCATGAACAAAAAGTGTTTTAGGACTGCCCTGGCCGGTGTGGCTCAGTTGGCTGGGTGTCAACCTGTGCACCAAAAGGTTGCTGGTTCGATTCCTGGTCAGGGCACATGCCCAGGTTATGGGCTCAATCCCTGGTGGGGGATGTGCAGGAAGTAGTCAATCAATGTTTCTTTCTCTCCCTCTCCCTTTCTCTCTTTCTAAAAATCAATACAACTATATTTTTATATTTTATGGGGGAAATTTTTAATAGGGTAAGCTTAATTTCGCTAATTTTAAGGTAAAATGAATAGTAAGCAAGAGTAAAATTTTAAAAACACTTTTATGTACTAAAAGCTGAAACCACTGACATTTTACACTTAAAAAAAATAATTGCTTTCATATTCATTGCTCACTTATTTAAATTGAAAAAGAATTTTTCCAGACTCTACAATGATAAAAACTGGTTAATATTACAAGCAATTAATGACAATTTTAACAGAGTCTTCTACATAAGTGCAGTGAATAATGAATCATGTTGTCTGAGCACTGCTCATTTGTTTATTATTCAGTCTTACTGCCTACCGCATGTCAAACCCTAGGCTGAGCATTGAAGACACAGCGAGAAACAATAACAGTCCCCGCCTCCATGGAGTCTGCACACTCACTAAGAAGGCAGGCGTTAGGCGGCCACCACCATGTTTGGCCGCTTAGTGAAGGGAAGCTGGTGCAAACAGCTGCACAGCAAATGGCAGACGATAAATTAGTTTTTGATTTGCCTGATTATGAAAATATTAACCATGTTGTGGTTTTTATGCTGGGAACAATCCCATTTCCTGAGGGAATGGGTGGATCTGTCTACTTTGCCTATCCTAATTCAAATGGAATGCCAGTATGGCAACTCCTAGGATTTGTCACGAATGGGAAACCAAATGCCATCTTCAAAACGTCAGGTCTTAAAGCTGGAGAAGGAAGCCGGCACCCATTTGGAGCCATGAACATTGTCTGAACTTCATCTGTTGCTCAGATTGGAATTTCAGTGGAATCATTGGACAGTCTGGCTTAGCAGACTCCTGTAGGTAATGCTGCTGTATCCTCAGTTGACTCATTCACTCAATTCACACAAAAGATGTTGGACGACGGCTACAATTTTGCTTCATCATTTGCTATCTCTCAGGCCCATATGACACCAAGTCCCTCTGGAACATTCATTCTAGCAAATGTGGTTCTGAAATGGTATGAGAACTTTCAAAGATGACTAGCATAGAACCCTCCCTTTTGGAAAACATAATTTGAATAAAATAATTTTTAATGGATTCTGAAATTTGTTATGTTTTGAAGATAAATGACTCCTTTTAAAAGCATGAAGTCAAGCCCTAACGGGTTTGGCTCAGTGGATAGAGCATCGGCCTGCGGACTCAAGGGTCCCGGGTTTGATTCCGGTCAAGGGCATGTACCTTGGTTGCAGGCACATCCCCAGTAGAGGGTGTGCAGGAGGCAGCTTGTCAATGTTTCTCTCTCATCGATGTTTCTAACTCTCTTTCCCTCTCCCTTCCTCTCTGTAAAAAATCAATAAAATATATTAAAAAAAAAAATAAAAATAAAAGCATGAAGTCAAAAGGATCATGAAGCCTATGTTTAAAAACTGCTTAGTGACTGTGTAGCTTAATTAAAAATAAATAAAAGAAAAACATTGAAAAATGAAAATATATTCCTCATTAATGAACTTTCCCCTTATGCTTTAAAAATTATTTGGAGGCGCCCTAACCGGTTTGGCTCAATGGATAGAGCGTCAGCTTTTGGACTCATGGGTCCCGGGTTTGATTCCGGTCAAGGGCATGTACCGTGGTTGCAGGCACATCCCCAGAAGGGGGTGTGCAGGAGGCAGCTGATCGGTGTTTCTCTCTCATCGATGTTTCTAACTCTCTATCCCTTGCCCTTCCTCTATGTAAAAAAAATCAATAAAATATATATTTTAAAAAAATTATTTGGAGGCAAAACATTTTGTTTTGGCAATGATTCATTTTTTACTTAAAAAGAAAGCATTATCACAAACAAAAAAAGAAGGCTGGCATTAGACAAAGAATTTCAAAATTAACTCTTAATGACAATTACTATATGTGCTACTACAGAGACAAAAAGATGCAAAAGAAAAATGTAACATAAGAGACTGGGATTCTGGTGGTTTTAGAGAAGATTTCTCAGAGGAAGTAAAGTTTGAGCTGAGCTCAACAAACAAATAAACAATGTAAACCACTGGCAAAGAGAATGGGGTACATCACAGCCAGAGGGAGCAGCCTGCACAGAATTGGGAAGAAAAGCACAAGGGAAATTCCAGGAACTAAAGGAAGATCTATGTACCTGAAAATGAAGGGCAAGAGGGAGGGCTTCTAAGAGATGAGGTTGGATGCCAGGTCAAGCAGGACATTACTTAAAAAAAAAAAAAAATCAGATTAGTAGGAAGCCTTGGAAAGATTTTAAGTAAAAAGCTGAACATCTAAACTAGAGAGAGACTAAATTGTGTTCACCAGACATTAAGTAAAAGTTATTTGCATCCTAATTCTTTAAAAAGCCAGCATTATCAGCCATCCTATCTAATAAAGAAGGAATATGCTAATTGACCCTCACACCATCGCAAAGATGGCGGTGCCCGCAGCCAATAAGGAGGGAGTATGCTAATTGACTGCCCCACCCTCAAAGATGGCAGCACCCACAGCCACAAGATGGCAGCACCCAGTCCCCTCAGCCCCTTGGGGCAGGCCCAGCCACTCCGCGCGCCTGCCTCTGGAGTCCCCCAGTCCCCTCAGTGCCCCAGCCGCCCAGGGCCGCCCGAGGCTCAGGTAACCAGGGCCGCCAGAGGCTTACGCTGACGGCAGTGGCAGCAGCAGAGGTGTGATGGGGGCGTCGCCTTCCCCTGATCGCCGGGTCACCTCCCACCCTTGAGGGCTCCTGGACTGTGAGAGGGGGCAGGCCGGGCTGAGGGACCCTCCCTTCAGTGCATGAATTTTCATGCACCAGGACTCTAGTATTCTATAATTCTTTAGTAACTGAAATACTCATTCATTTCTTAACTATTTTTTTTTAAATATATTTTTGATTTTTTACAGAGAGGAAGGGAGAGAGATAGAGAGTCAGAAACATCGATGAGAGAGAAACGTCGATCAGCTGCCTCCTGCACGCCCCCCACTGGGGATGTGCCCGCAACCAAGGTACATGCCCTTGACCGGAATCAAACCTGGGACCTTTCAGTCCACAGGCCGACGCTCTATCCACTGAGCCAAAGAGGTCTTGGCATTTCTCAACTATTATCAGGTAAGTTTATATTCACCATTTACCTAAAAAACAACCTTCACCCATTGCAACAACACTCAAAGCTCAGAAATAAGCAAAAATAATATTCCCAGCTCCTAAATTAGCTTTCACAAAACCCATACACTAGTCCAGCCGTGGGCAAACTACGGCCCGCGGGCTGGATCCGGCCCGTTTGAAATGAATAAAACTAAAAAAAAAAAAAGACCGTACCCTTTTATGTAATGATGTTTACTTTGAATTTATATTAGTTCACACAAACACTCCATCCATGCTTTTGTTCCGGCCCTCCGGTCCAGTTTAAGAAGCCATTGTGGCCCTCGAGTCAAAAAGTTTGCCCACCCCTGCACTAGTCAGTCACTTAAGACCTTAGGCCTTCCTTCATCTCACTGATTTTATTTAACACTTGTGGCCCAGTGCCTGGATTCGTGCACATTGAAAGGAAATTAATTAGGAGAAATATTTTAATATCACTATTCGCCCTTTCTCTATAATAGAAATGTCAACAAAAACAACCACATTCACAATTGACAATGACAGATCGAAATACTAGTACATTCATGCGATTGGCACCAGCGAGAGCTTTATATGTATTGTGCATGCGTGAGTCAACATTTATTTTTAAATTGCCAGTGCGGCCCTAACCAGTTTGGCTCAATGGATAGAGCGTCGGCCTGGGGACTCAAGGGTCCCAGGTTCGATTCCAGTCAAGGGCATGTACCTTGGTTGCGGGCACATACCCAGTGGGAGGTGTGCAGGAGGCAGCTGATTGACGTTTCTCTCTCATCGATGTTTCTAACTCTCTATCCCTCTCCCTTCCTCTCTGTAAAAAATCAATAAAATATATTTAAAAAAAATAAAAATAAATTGCCAGTGCGCATCATATGTACCGGCTGGTCGGTTGGACGTATGGACATACGATAGGTCAAATAAATTCTTATTAAATTTACTTGATTTTCAGGAATGAAGCAAATTAAACTCAGTAGAAAGGGAATAAATGGTCCAGGCTCAGATGAGTACATTAGCTTAATACTGTTTAGTATTAAGCTGACAACTGTTAGCTTAATACTAAAGAAAATTAGACACAGAATTATATTTCACCAAGTATATCCACAGAAGTAGAATCCTTCCCTCATTCCCAGGCAAAACTGGATTAATGACATGTTCCTATACATGCTTCCACAAAAAAACCTAAGGATACTTTTGTTTCAAACACTGTCATAGATTATAACATTTATTATTTGTTCTTAATTATTGAAAATAAAAGTCTAACAAAGAAAACTTATTTCTGCCCTGTCCAAAGAAGCAACATTAGAATCTAAGAGATCGTCCAAATTTAGAACAAAATCACACTTCAAGATCCTGCCAAAAACCTAACAAAAGGTTATTTGATCAAACAGTACAAGCCAAATTTTAAACCATTCATTCACTTACGCACAATGACTACATGGATTACATCATTTGCTGCACATATGCTCTTTAGCAAAATCTCATTTCCAGATCAACGTAGCTTTAGATTAGAAATACAAATGTTAAGATTTATCCTTACTTGATCTATCACAACAAGGATACATGAGTTTTTAAAATATCATTTGGGTGTTAATATAAATTTGCAGACAAAGTACTATACAACGAACTATGCAAGCATAAAATATTCAATTTATCCAAAAGTCCAAGAAGAGAAAAATGAAGACAATAAAAAAGAAGTAATTGTGAAAAAAAAATAGTGTAATTTCTAATTCTCATTTAGAATACCACCGTACTTATGTAAGTACATAACCTGTATTCAAATGAAAATGAAACAATTTTATAATTAGCATCATCATAAGAGCTATTTACTATGGTAATTCCTCAAATAACCTTATAGATATTATCTCCATTATACAGGAGGGAAAATTGAGTCAGAGAGTTTAAATAACTTGTCCAAGGTCATACATAAGCAAAATTTACAATAAAGTTTAAGTAAATGAGATGTTACTATATACATGTTCCATACCATAAAAAGATCAATTCCAATTTTGCTGTGGAATTCATTTATTAGTGGAAATTTATATTATTTATAAATGTTGGAGAATATAAATTATTTTATGTATACTTTAAAATTATCTTAAAAAGACTTCTGGCCCAGCTGGCGTGGCTCAGTGGTTAAGCATTGACTTATGTTATGTGTACTTTACATAATAAAAATTTTTCTTTAATAGAAAATAAAGTAGGGAATGAAAAAGAAAAAAAATGTTTATGTGAAAAAATAAGCAATAATAGCCATACAAATTCTGGAAACAGAGTACGGATTAGCCCCTTCCAATTATTAAAGTAAGTTATAAAGTTATAGTAATTAAAATATTACACTTGTTAAATGAAAAGGCATATAGCTTGATGGATAGAAAAACAAGTCTAAGAAGAGACCCAAATCCATAATATGTATCAAAGTTCAAATCAGTGGGTTATAATTGGTTTAGGTGGATTATTCAGTAAGTAGTACTGAGAATTAGTAACCACCTGAAAAAAAATTAACTGGGGCCATAATTTACCCCTCATTCAAAATAAATTCCAAATGGATCAAAGAATTCAATGCAATTTTTTAGGTTACTAGAAAAAAACATGGGAGTCAGATTTTTTAATCTCTGTGTGTGGAAAACTTTTCTAAATATAAGTCCAAACCCAGAAGTCATCAAAGAAAAAAACTGATATGAGTATAATGTATATATAGATATAGAAGAAAACAACACAATGCAAGTCATAAGAAAAATCTACTGGAAAAAAGTATTTGTAACTCACATTCCCAGATAAAATTACAGAAACAGTTTTTAAAAAGCCAGAAGATGGCGATATTACTTCATTACAGCCTCACTGGTACCAACAACTAAGCTGTCATCCTTTGTCAGTAAGGAACCCGTTTTCCTCTTTGTGTCTCTTGTTGCCCTTCTCCATTCCCTCCTATATTTACCTATCCTTCTACTCTTCACTCGTGATATAAAACTGAAATAAATATTAGTAGTGGCAAGGGAAGATAGAAGAAATCCTGAATTTATAAAAATATTTATAACAATACTATTTTTTAAAAATATGACATAATTAAATGTAAGATAAGATTATCTTTGTTAAATATCCATTCTCTCCTAAAACTACACTAAAATGATGCTAAACGCCTCCTGCACACCCCCTACTGGGGATGTGCCTGCAATCAAGGTACATGCCCTTGACCGGAATCAAACCTGGGACCCTTCAGTCCTCAGGCCGACGCTCTATCCACCAAGCCAAACCGGTCAGGGCAACAATACTATTTTTAAGTGAATATGACATAATTAAATGTAAGATAAGATTATCTTTGTTAAATATCCATTCTCTCCTAAAACTACACTAAAATGATGCTAAAAAAGGATAAATTCATAAAAAAAATATATAACATGAAAGGAGACAACAGCTGATGAGAGATCTTATATATAATAAAAGTGTAATATGCAAATCGACCAAACTGCAAAACTACTGATCGGCGGGGGGCGGGGCCGGCGAGCAGGCGGCGCCAGGCCAGCCAAGGCATGTGCCAGCAGGTAGAGGGAGGGGCCAGCAATCAGGGGTCAGCGGTGACCAGCGGCCGCGAAGGGGCAATTGTGGGGGGGGGGGGGGGAGGGCCTGCTGCTTGCCAGGCTTCCAGCACTGTCCTCTGATCAGCCTGCCTGGTTGCCTCCTGCAGAGGGAGGCCAGACTATGGCTTAAGCCTGCTCCCATGGGAAGTGGGCCTAAGCCGTCAGTTGGACATCCCCTGAGGGCTCTCGGACTGCAAGAGGGTGCAGGCCAGGCTGAGGGACCTCCCTCCGCCACCGAGTGCACAAATTTTCGTGCACCAGGCCTCTAGTATAAATATAACACTTTGTTGGCTTTGTAAAACAGAACAAGCCAACCCCATGCATGTGAGGGCAGGTGAGGGTATGAAACCAGTAAGAAGCAAGCACAACAGAAAGGCTGAAGAATCTGAAGGTAGGGGTCAAAGTTGGGCTGAAAATAGGAATACTGGTTGAATGTTTGTAAGGAACAGTTTTCACCCAGAAGCCTTACCACGTATCCAAGAAACTGTCTCTCCTGAACCCTAGCGAGAGACAAGTGGTTTACTTTCTTAAGAC